AGGAGGAGGGAGAGGAAGGGGAGAAGAAAGAAGAAGAGGAGGTAGAGAGAAAAAATAATAGGGTTGAGAAAATGGGGGGAAGACAGAGACCGCTGGGAAGAGGGTCCCCACTAACAGTATACCCAATATGGCAACACATTAAGAGCTATTGACAAGTACACTCCTATGGATTAAATCAGATTGTTGACTTTTTAGCGATGAGGAGCATGAAAGTTAGTGGATTCATTGTTTATGGGAAAAGTTTCATACAAATCAAAGTGACAATACTTTGACAATAAAATTAGAATACATCAGCCATGTGTTGTTGTCAAGTTGTGTATTTTGGACGCAAGGAATAATAAAATAATTAAAAAAAAACTGCCAGAAAAGCATGTGTTTCTATTAAAGCATGGGAGTTGTCACTTGCACATGCGTAAGATGGCCATAGTTTGTCATTGTTAACAAATAAGCATCTACCCATATTCTTGGGATAACCTTTTACTTGCACTATAATTTAGAGAGACATAATGGGCCAAAATGAAAAGGTTTTGCTATATCCATGAATGATTGCATTCAATGACAGCATTTTATTTCTGTCTCGCAATACAGTTAATGTTGCCCTGTCATATGTACACAATGGAAAGTGGTCAAACAACATAAATAATGAGAAACAAAGTCAATGTTGGTGGCATAGTTTACTTCAAATTTCATACGAGTACCATTACATTTTAAAGAAAAGCAAATATGATGTTCTTTGAAATTATAAATGCTATTATTATACATCTGTAACCGTAATGTCACAAGTTACAGCGTGTCGTAATTTTGCGGTATTTTATGGGGTATTTTCATCCTACCATATTAGGAAATGCAAATTCCAAATATGGAATGATTACATGAGTAAGCGTCCTCTAATAATAAAAACAAACATGGCTGCCACCAGGGTTTGACGGGACTTCACACACAGAAGTTCACTCAATCTGTTCTAAACTTTTTGGATTTCGGCATTCCCATGATGTATCCTTGAAAGGAAAAGCTGTATAGTAATAAGGTTTTTAAGAGGATACCTCAAAGTATGCAGTCAGACAGTACGCCGTCGCATCGAACTCAGCTGCACGTCGAAGATCTACGTGCATATTTTGAGGTATCCTCATAATAACCTCATATTATTTTCAGTGATAGATGTATAATAATTAATAATGAAGATAGAAGAAAAAAAACTGAATAACTCACTGACTCAGACTTCAAGCAAATAAATTATTAATCATTAGAAAATTAAGATCACAAACAAACTTACATGCCAAGGTTAAAACTGCTATTTGACTTTGAAGACTATCCTCACCAGCCTCAGCCAGACAGGAATATGTCCCAACATTCATCTGGGTCACATTCCTTATAAGGAGAGTTCCATTTGCATAGATTTGATAATTTGGACCTGTGATTGGATAATTATTAAAAAGCCATGTGTACAACACAGAGGGCCCTCCTATTGCCATGCAGTGAAACCAGCATGGAGTAAACTCTCTAGATATTTGGTCTGTGGGATCCAACACAAAATTCAAACAAATAGCACCTACAGTGAAAGAAGAAGAAAAAATCAGTGGTCTCAGATGAGCTGTAACTTATATAAAATGTGATAATGTATATAGATTGTTTTTTGTTTTGCAGAATATGAAATGAGATCAACATTCTAAGTTTTATTTCATGTTATATGCGAGTGTAGTGTAATAGGTAATTTTCTGTTCACTTTGTGATCTTCAGTAATGTGTGAACGACAGGATTGAACATCGTTCCCAAAAATTTTATGATTTGAGATTGAAATTATATTTCCCTTTTTTAACGGTTAATTTTCGCTACATTATGTATTTGTCGACGGTATCCTACTCCGTCCAAAAATGTTAACACCTTTCCTAAAATAGCGCCCCCTTGCAAGTTACCTATTGATATGCTAATTTTGATATATTTGTCTACCAATTGTCTCTAAATTATGCTATCAGTGATTATTTGTTCACTGCTTAACCCAACCCAACTTTTCTACACCTATGGTGGGGGTTAACAGATAAATGTACCCCAAACCTGTGGAGGGATTAAGTTTTAAGAAGCGAGTATTATATCGTCGGGGTGGTTATAATGATATCCATCTTTCAGAGAGGAATACTGCGTTGAGATATCGAAATTTCCTTACTTCATCGAAATTGCCTATCATCAAATGTTTATAACACATTATTAGATACGCAAATATCCTAAAATTAACTGTTGATATTTTGAGCATATTCGTTGTGTTTTAAATTTCCTGATGAGAATATAGACAATGAGTATGTAATTTAATTACTGTAGAATACTTTATTTTCGCTTGGAATTTATTTTCCGTGATTTTTGCTGAAGGGAAGATTCCGTGAAAATAAAATTCAACGAATATATTTTTTTCCCCATATTTCACATTAAACTCATCAAAAATCAGTGAAAATAAATTCCATACAAAACATCCAAAAAGCCTTTTCAGCGAAATTAATTCCAGCGAAAATAAAGTATTCCACAGTAAGCAGATTTTGCTTATCAACTGAAATAGTGAACTTAAAACCCAGTGAAAAATTAATGTTAACTTACAGAAAATTTACTTATTAGAATAAAATTACAATGATTAGTTGTTTAGAGTATATTCAGCGTCATTAAAGGTAAAGCCAATGACGCAGTCCCAGCGATTGAAAGATTACCCTTTAAATAGTGATGAAATTCTTACCAGGAATTATGAAAATGAAAACAACTGCTAGAGTTGATATGAGAGTTGATTTGTTGGCAGCCATGCTGCGTGCCTCATGTTAATAACAGTGTGTTCAGGTACACCAAGAGCAATCTGAAAAAAAAAGAAAATATTTGTATTTAGGAAATCAAAATAGTTGGCAATATCTGGCAAAGTTTTGGTATGTTAAAGTTGAAATTATTCTTGAATTGATAATTAGAATTTCTTGGAAGAGAGATATGGTAGACAAATTGCACTAATCACTTTTTTCTGCGCTTGGAAGAAGTATTAATTAAAACACCTTTCATGGCTATAATATCTCATTGTCAAAATAAAGTTTTCTCGTTCTTGATAACAAACAAAACCAAAACCGTGATCAAAATGATTTCTGTGGTCAGTTACATTAAGGAAGAAGTGAACACTTAATCAAAATTTAGGTAGAGATACAGGTTCGTTAGCACTTGGGGGTGAATTTTTTTTTTGCTTTTTATTATCCAAACAGTCTTGGCTATAGACTGTTAAAATTTTGAAGAATTGCGAATAATGGAACATACTCAAAAAACGATTTTAAAATATAGATAACAGGTGCAAACATTCTCTTTTTTGAATTCTTAGCAAGATTTAGCAAGGCTGTACATAAATAATAAAAAAGAAACATGGTGAAAAAAGAAATGATAGGATCTCCATATTGTGCATTATATTTAACAAAACGATAATACATTTAAAATTTGAAATGTTACAGCCGCATTAGCAAAATTCTTACTGAGTGAATTGTAATGCAAATTAGCAATTATCTCAGCTTCTTTTTAGTGCACATCCAAGAAAAAGTAGCTCCTAGACGCTTTGACCTTTTGTTTTGAAATTTTCACAAATGATTGACAATGTGTTTATCTTCAAAACGCCCTCAGGGCATTGTTTTTGGTTGAACAGTGTTACAACAATCATACAGACAACTAGCCTGGGTGTTAATTTATGCATAAACTTGAAGTAGTGAAATTTGAGCTGCTGCCCTGCAAAAATGACAACTGGTAGACAGTTTTCAAGACGACACTTTCTTCATAGTAAACAGATGTACCCATAAACCAATTTTGACAGGAAACAGAAGCATGGTTTAGAAGCTAATTTTTTTAAAATCATTTTTGACCTAAAAAGCACATTTTTGTGCATATTTCAAACTACAGTCTCCATAAAAAAAATACTAACAAAATGTTTAAATTCATACAATAAGCTTTCCGAAAATATATAGTTTTGTGGACAAGGGAGGTCATCTTGGTTTCCCAATTAACTAATTAAAATACCTGTCAGGTAAACTGCATCTCTACCTTAACCCTAAACATAGAATATATTTTGCTACATTTTTTTCAGAATGATTAAAAAATATTTCGGCAATCCTCAATCAAATGTGAGCAAGATTGTTGTTACTGTTTCACATAGCTTTTGTTTTCTGTCACAGTACTACCAGTATATCATAGTAGATGCATGAATATTGAAATTAGGGCCAAAAAGAAAAGAATTTGTTTTTTATGTCCCAGGAAAAATGATGGGGTTTTTATTCTTTTTCTAGTCAAACTTGTGTTAGTGACCACCTCTGTATATAGACCACCTGCCTATAGTAACCACTTTTAGGCAGTACAAGGGCATAACATATGGGCAAACTGTATTTATAAAGACCACCTCCTTTTAAATACATGCATTACAGATATTTCATCAACTAAGGGACGACGTCAAAAGATCGATGTCGGATAAAAAATTTAATTCCTTTAGTTTTTTTCCAAACCCCCCTGCCCCCCACTGAAACTTAATTAATAAAAATTGACCATGGTGTCAGACTACATTCACCATTAAATACAAATTGATAATTGGACAGTAGTATTGCATAGCAGTTGGTTGTCGAGTGAGTGTAACAAGATTTTACAAATGCACCTCATTTGACGCACAGATTTACACTCGAACCAAACCATTTTTCTGTTTTTTTTCCCTTTTCGGTTATTTCTGTCTATGATTGGATAGAAAAAAAACGAACTACAAATACTCCAAGATTTGTTTGACTTCATTAAAAAATAAAATCGTTTTTGTAGGATGGAAACTTTTTGAGGTCAAAACCCCCACCCCCAAACTAAAGGAAATAAGTTTTTTATCCGACATCGATCTATTGACGTCGTCCCTAAACATCTTCTAAATAACAGAACACAATATTACAAAACCAAAATGTATGCAGTGCAGTTTTCAGACTGACATTCATAATGGCAAGCTAACAAATGTGTTGTGCGCTGAAATACCTGAATCAGATATAGTGAAACCATGGCAACCTAACCAACTGTTACCAAGTTCAAAATTCCTACTATAAGATTAACAATTAAATTGACTGGTTGAAAATCAGCCTAAATTCTGTCTCTCCCAAAATATTTTGACCGTTACTGAAACATATCAACCAAAACAAACAGTATACATTATATCATAAATGAGCAAAATTGATGTCGTCATGGAAATCACATCAACTGTGTAGAACTCCCACACAAGTAGACTGGTGAGCAAAATAAAAATCTAAGAGCAGAACTTTAATGGACGAAAATGAGAGAATAAGCAAGACAATTGTAACCCTTGTCTTCAGTGCAGTAAAAATTACTAAAAATCTGATCATGCAGTATTATGTACACGCAGTTAAAATAATTGCTGTTGCTTATAAATATTAAATTAAATTAAGTTAATTAATTTGTTCGATAATTAATGTAGAAACACCAATAAATCTACTTTGTGACTGAATTAGACGGTTCAATAGGAATTTACTACTGGTAATTTTGTGTTAGGTTTATCCATTCTCCTTCCCAGAGTTCCTTGCGGTTAGATCACCGAAAGTATCTCTGCCACCACACACCGCCATTTTGTGGTGAAACACCACAAGATTATTACTACGCGTATCATTTGCGTATTTTTGTTAGTAGAAGGATCTTGTGTTGATTTATTCCTACTGATAAACAAGTTTTAAAATATTTCATTGATAGCTGATAATGACTTTTTTGTAAACGCACTTAAAACGGTGAAATAGTTATAAATTACAAAAGAAAATAATTTCATGCGGCAGAATAACGGTTACTCGGTTCATCAAGCTGACGGCCCTATCGATCGCTAGGCGAAGACATATGAAAAAAAGGAAAGCACTTTGTGGTATTGACAGCGAACACGTTCTATTGCCACTCCGTTTGTGCCAAGGAAAGTAAAAATATGAGCTTCTCACTGTGAAAACAGCCAGAATCTACAAACAACGCGCACGCTTTCGTTGGGTTCGAAAATCGAACACATGCATTGCAATGGTTTGGTGCGCGTTTTTTGAAAGTAGTACCACTGTGATGCATCGACCAATCAACGACAAGCATAAGATCGCGTGGTGGCAGAGATATATTCGTGATAGAACTCTGCCTGGGGAGATTGGGGTTTATCAACAGCACAGTTACAGGGGTGAATGTGGCTAACAAACTTTCTGCAGTTTTGCCTGTTTAGGTCGGCTAATGACTATCATTTAAAAAATGCAATGTTGACATGGACACTGCATCCTACTCTCATCCAGTATACTGGTATATATCCCAGAGGGTTACTGTGGTACTTTCATAGAAGTCCAATACGGCTTGTGGAGTGTCATTT